GGAATCGAACCTGGGACCCTTGAGTCCGCAGGCTGATGCTCTATCCACTGAGCCAAACCGGTTAGGGCGAGCCATAGTTTCTTACTTGTGAAAACATAATGCAAATATTTATATGTGTATATATTTCTATATTCAAATATAAAAAAACTAAGCTTGTAACTTTTAATTACACATGTAAAATGTAAAAATTATTTTAAGAATTCTCAGATATACAGAATCACAGTTTCTCAGGGCAGAAGTTAGTTAACAGCTAACATTTACTGAGCACTTACTCCATAAAAAACTGCTTTACATCTAGAATAACTCCTTTAAAGCTCACAAGGTGAGATTATTCTCTGTTTTACTCCCAAGGTCATCAGAGCGTAAAAGGCAGAGCCAGAATGAAATCCAAACTCCTCTGTCATACTTTCTCATTTCAAAGTAAATCCATAGTCTCAATCATTCATTTTACAGTTGAAGAAAATAAAACCCATTACATTAAGGTATTTGGCCAGTCACACAGGTAGTGACTAGAAAACACATGACTTGATTATCAACTCAAGTGTTATACCCACTGCTAATCCATAAGAAGTACCTTAAAACCAATGCAAGTGCAGGTTAAAAAATATACATTCAATTTTTCTACAGTGTTAAGCAATAAATGTGGAAAACAGGAAACAAAACTGTAAGGTAACATGGCCAAATACTAACAGCAGCTATGTGGTGAATAGTAAGAGAATGGGTGGTTCTTTTCTCTTAGTCCCTTTCCCCAATCTTTATATTTCAATTTTGTTATTGTGATTGGCGCACACCCACACAGGTGTGTGCGTGTGCACATACATACACAACACACACACACCTGTCCTGTGCAGACTAAAAACGGTGGCTGAAATAAGGAAATAGAAGAAAAAAAAAGGTTCAATCATTCAAAATTAATCCCTTAAAGTAAAGGGAAACTCCAGCTACCGGTCTAAAATCAGCATTCTACCCCTGTGATTAGGGAGGACGGCACAATGCAAATGAAATCTCTCGTGAAATCATCCGCATGTAGGAGAACACACAATGAGAAAAGTTAGTCACATTTCAGCTTACAGATCTGACATGGAAGGAAAACGCTTGAATTTCCACAATTACCCACTTCCACCCTTTTCATTGCCAGCTTGGCGAGAGAAAGACAAAGCGAATGAAAGCTAACAGGGTATCTATCACATTTTATCCCATAAGATACACGTATTGGCGTTATTTTAAAAATGTTTCTTATAGCCGGTTGCAGAACCTCCCCTTGAAATTCAACACGCTGGGATTATTGAACAGCAACGGCTGAGCTTCCTATTAAAAAGTGTAAAAAAGGCTGGTGAATTCTGTCCAAGCAGCTTTTAGGGTAGTTCTTGCTACGGGCAAGCTGTCGTGGAGGCACAGAGGCGTGACCGACCGGAGTGTCCCGGTCCCGGACCTCCCGGTCTGGTAGGGCAGGTTCAAGGCCGCCGTTACAGGAGGTGAGAGGGGCGTGAGCCCAGACGTGCGGCGGGGAGACGCGCGGCAAGTGCCAGGCCGGTGCACCGGACTCGGGAACATTAGAGGTTACGGAGCCTGAAACCCGTACTCGGCTCGGAGTCATGAGAGAGGAAGTGACAGTCCTTTCCCAAGGACACGGGAGACCGGGTCGCAGGGCAGCATCTCCCCTGCCCCCCCCTAACCCAGGGCTGTGGCCCCGGGCGGGGTCAGGGAGCGGGCAGCGAGTGGGGGACGCGGGTCCGAGGTCGCCCTAGTCTCCGCAGGCGTTATACCCGGGGGTCCGGGGCGCCCTCAGCCAGGCCTCACCTGAGCAATGGAGCGTCCTGGAGGCATTTGTGAAGCGTCTGAGGCAACCGATTGCGCGGGAGGCCACCATCTTGAGCAGAAGAGGACGAAAGTGGAAAGAGCTTCAAGTGCTGGGGGGCCAGGCCAAAGACTTTTCTTTCCCGCAGCCCGGCCCCGGGCAGGCGCCTGACGCATTGCCTGACTAAAATCCCGACGCTGAGTTGCCGCGGGCCCCTTAACCCTGCCCTTCGCTCCCGGATAAGGGGACGAAAAGGACCCTTTCCTTGCTGGAAGGAAGGCGGCCCATCGAGAAGAGGGTACCGTGCCGGGTTTTCCAGTCAGGCGGTCAGCGGGCAGCCGCGAGACCAGCGAAGTCCGCGGAACCGCCGGCTGACGTGAGGGGTCCTTTCCAGGCTGGCCCCGCCCCCCGGCCCCTCCGGATTCTGTCATTAGGGTGCGAACCTTGCCAACTGCGGGAGCCTTAGCGGACGCGAACGCAGGTGAGACGGCGGGTGCGCTGGGCTCTTCGCCCGGCCCTTTCCCCCTCGGCGAGACCCGCACTTCTTTCCCACCCGCAGCGCCAGTGCCCGCGGCTGCCCCCCTCCCTGGGGGAGTGGAGCTCGGCCAGCGGAAGGAAGCTCCGGGACGCGGTCTCCTATACCAAAGCAATTAGTGCAGTAACTTGGACGGGTTAGAGAGGAAGTGACAGTCCTTTCCCAAGGACACGGGAGTCCGGGTCGCAGGGCAGCATCTCCCCTGCCCCCCCCCAACCCAGGGCTGGGGCCCCGGGCGGGGTCAGGGAGGGGGCAGCGAGTGGCCGAGGCCGCCCTAGTCTCCGCAGGCGTTATACCCGGGGGTCCGGGGCGCCCTCAGCCAGGCCTCACCTGAGCAGTGGAGCGTCCTGGAGGCATTTGTGAAGCGTCTGAGGCAACCGATTGCGCGGGAGGCCACCATCTTGAGCAGAAGAGGACGAAAGTGGAAAGAGCTTCAAGTGCTGGGGGGCCAGGCCCAAGACTTTTCTTTCCCGCAGCCCGGCCCCGGGCAGGCGCCTGACTCATTGCCTGACTAAAATCCCGACGCTGAGTTGCCGCGGGCCCCTTAACCCTGCCCTTCGCTCCCGGATGAGGGGACGAAAAGGACCCTTTCCTTGCTGGAAGGAAGGCGGCCCATCGAGAAGAGGGTACCGTGCCGGGTTTTCCAGTCAGGCGGTCAGCGGGCAGCCGCGAGACCAGCGAAGTCCGCGGAACCGCCGGCTGACGTGAGGGGTCCTTTCCAGGCTGGCCCCGCCCCCCGGCCCCTCCGGATTCTGTCATTAGGGTGCGAACCTTGCCAACTGCGGGAGCCTTAGCGGACGCGAACGCAGGTGAGACGGCGGGTGCGCTGGGCTCTTCGCCCGGCCCTTTCCCCCTCGGCGAGACCCGCACTTCTTTCCCACCCGCAGCGCCAGTGCCCGCGGCTGCCCCCCTCCCTGGGGGAGTGGAGCTCGGCCAGCGGAAGGAAGCTCCGGGACGCGGTCTCCTATACCAAAGCAATTAGTGCAGTAACTTGGACGGGTTAATTGATCACCGCGCGTGAACCAACTGTTCGCGGGTGGGGTGTGTGTGTGTGCGCGCGCGCGCTTAAAGCGCTGGGTTCTTGCAGTATTTGTTACGGTTTCACCGACGTTGCCGGTAGCCAGAACGGGCCCACGGGTGAGACTGCTTCAATGGGTGAGACTCAGTCCTTTGAGCTTCGGGACTCCGAGTGTGGAAGGAGACATTCCTCCACCCTGCTCGGAAAGCCAGTGTTTCAGAGGGTTTTCTAACCCAGAAGGGACCTGGCCGTTTGTCTGGTCATTCATCCCCGTCATTTTATCGGTGAGAAAACAGGCCCGTGAATCACAGCATGAGTAATTTTGCTCACGGCCGCAGGTGGAAGAAACGGGACTAGAGCTTATAGGTCCTACTAACTTCTCGCCAAGAGCGCTGCATTGGACAGTAGCTGTTTTTGTTCTGGAAAGATGGGCTTAAGTCCTCAAAGTAGCTGATTGGTTCTCAAAGCAGGTAACATCGAGGATCCTCTAGGCCAGTGGTTCTCAACCTTGGCTGCACATTAGAATCACCTGAGAATCTTTTTAAAATCCTGATTTCTGGGCCTCATCCTCCGGAAATTCTGTTTCTTTGTTATGGGGTGGGGCCACAACATTAGTAACAAAGAAACAGAATTTCCGGAGGATGAGGCCCAGAAATCAGGATTTTAAAAAGATTCCCGGGTGATTCTAATGTGCAGCCAAGGTTGAGAACCACTGCTCTAGGCGCTTTCACGCCATCTCACTTAATCCTTACAATCCCCAAATTGTTATTTGCATGTTCTAGAGCAGCGGTTCTCAACCTGTGGGTCGCGACCCCTTTGGCGGTCGAACGACCCTTTCACAGGGGTCGCCTAAGACCATCCTGCATATCAGATATTTACATGACGATTCATAACAGTAGCAACATTACAGTTATGAAGTAGCAACGAAAATAATTTTATGGTTGGGTCACAACATGAGGAACTGTATTTAAAGGGCCAGAAGGTTGAGAACCACTGTTCTAGAGAAAGCTTGAGAGGCTCAGAGTTTATGTCAGTTTTCTGGTTCTGCGGCAGAGCCAGGATTTGAGACATAAATCTGCGGCTCACAGAGGAAGCCAGAAGGAGCAGGGGAACGGGGCAAGGAGGTTGAGACTGAAATGAGTGTAGAAAGAAAGAAGAGAGGTTTTTGTTTAAAGCTCAGGTCAAACAGTCCTCCATCACTCGGAGCCCTTTAAGCAGCAACTGGATGGCCAGTGGTCATTTAATTTCCAGAAAGGATTCTTGGTGACCTCCAAAGGCCCTCCAACTCAGAAGGTTTTTGTCGCACCTATTGCTTACATCAGGGGTGGCAGGCTTTTTCTGTAAAGGGCCAGATTGTAAGTAGCTTTGCAAACCCACGGTGATCTCTTGTCCTATATATTTTTGTTTTGTTCTGCATCTCTTTAAAAATGTAACAGCTAGTATTAGCTAGAGGCCCATGGGTTGTAGTTTGGCTCTTGACTTTTTTTGTTCCCTGTATTTGCAACAAAATAGTAAGGCAGAAATGTTATGTTTCTCACCATGGTGTACTTAGAGGGAAACTACACCACCCACTGATTTTAGTAGCAAAAAATGGATGCCCCTGACTAAGTGCTTTATGTATATTAATTTATTCCTCAACAATCCTCTGAGGTAAGTACTGGAATTACCTACATCTTATAGATCCATTTTACAGATCTTTTGTTTTTTTGTTACTCCTCATCTGAGGATATTTTCCCATTGATTTCTAGAAAGAGGGGAAGGGAGGAGGAGAGAGACAGAGAAGAGAAACATGGATTGGTTGCCTCCTGCACGTGCTCAACTGAGCCAAACCGGCTAGGGCTCTGTATCTTAATTCTAAAGCAGAGGAAAGGTGAAGTAACTTGCTTAAAGGTCAGGGCAGTACAGTGTGTCTTTATTATTATTAAATATACTTTTATTGATTTTAGAGAGAGGAAGGGAGAGGGAGAGAGAAACATCCATCTGCTGCCTCCTGCACTCCTGGGGATCAAGCCCCAAACCAGGGCATGTGCCTGGACCGGGAATTGAACTGGTGACCTTTTGGTGCATGGAAGGACGCTCAACCAATTGAGCCCCACAGGCCAGGAACATTGTGTCTTAGTGATATTGTAATCATGAGCTGTTGGAGCCAATTTATCTTGTTTTCATTACTTGCCAGGCCCCTTCTTTCCCTTGTTCCCAGGTCCCTGCAACTTCAAGCATCTTTCCATAGTCCCACATTCAGTAGAGCCTACTTTATCCTTAGGTCAAAATGTTTATTTCCTAAACCTTAGAGCAAGTGACAGTAAGAGTCAGTCCTCCCATAGAGTAGTTTGCTTAGTCCCTCTTTCTTTTAAAATATCTCCTTATTTATTAATTATTGATGGATATATATTCTATGTACTTTTTTTTTCAGAAACTACAGAAAAGTCTAAAGAAAAATACACTTATAATTCCACCACTCAGAGATAACAGTAACATTTTTATATGTATTTTTTGAACATTTTTATGCATTTCTACATTTTTACATATCTATATAAATATTAATATACATAGATTTTAAATAAAAATTATACTGTACATAAAAATAAAATTCTCATTTAAAAAATTTAAGAAGACAGAAGAATATAAAATGAAAGCCTCTCTTTATCTCTTTCATTTATAGACTCAGCTTTTAAAAAAAATTTTTTTTATTTATTTCAGAGACAGGTAGAAACATCAATGATGAGAGAGAGTCATTGATCTGCTGCCTCTTGCACGCCCTACACTGGGGAATCGAGCCCACAAACTGAAAATTGGGTATGTGCCCTGGCTGCAAACCGAACCGTGGTCTCCTGGTTCATAGGTTGATGCTCAACCACTGAGCCACGCCTGTCTGGCTAGACTCAGCTTTATGGGCTTTCTTTTCTCTCTTTGTGTCATATCGAGTCTAACTGTACATACTATTTTGCAGCTTGCTTTTTCATTTAATATATATTGTGGATATATACATGTATATCAGTACACACATGTATATCATTATGTTTCAATTCTTTCCAGACTGCTGCACAGTATTTCATATTATGTTTATACTATAATTTTCTAAATTTTATTTTTCTGTTACAGTTTACATTCAATATTATTTTGTATTAGTTTCAGTACTATAATTTATTTAACCATTTCCTACTGATGTGCATTTAGATGTTTCAGTTTTCCACAAATGTAAACAATGCTACAATGAGTATCTTAAGTATTTCTATAGTTAGAGATCCATGTATGCTACACATACATCCTGAATACAGTGGGGCCTTGACTTACGAGTGTCCCGACTAACGAGTTTTTTGAGATACCAGCTGTCTCTCTGCCGATTTTTTGCTTTGTGTTGACAGAGTAATTTGAGTTAACGAGCTCCTTAACGAGCTCGGTCTCGGAACGAATTAAACTCGTAAGTTAAGGCCCCACTATATTTCTATAAGTTAAAGACCATAAGAGGAATTATTGGGCTCAGAAAATCACAATTCAAATTTTGATAGACAACTAAAAATTGCCTCCCAAAAAGGCCTTAGCAGTTTATACTTCTAGCAACTGAATTTAGAAGTGCCTAAATAGACCCATTCTTACTAGAATTGTGTATTAACCATATTTAAAATTTTTGCTAATCTGATAAACTCAAAATGTTGCCTTGTTTTAATTAACTATTTTATTGTTAGTGAGGTTAGACGTTTAACATTTTGTTTATTTGACATTTTTATTGCTTATATGAGTTGCTCATTTTCCTTTTGGTCATATATCAGGAAGGAGTTTTTCACATGTAAATAAGAGTAAATTCTGTTCAACCTGACTTATTAAAGGGATTTATTGACAGTGGGAGGATGAGTTTCAGATGTGACTCAATCATCGCTCTAGTTTCTTTTTCTGAGATTCTTGGTTCTGTCTTCTTTTGTGGTCACTTCTGTCTGTAGGATAGCTTTTTTTTTTTCATGTTTTCTAACTGCTATGGCTGGATGCCTCAGAAGGAAAGATTTGTGTCCCAGAATTCCAGGCGGAAGACTTGAATGTCAGGTTAACTATTCCCAAATCAATACCAGTGATCAAGGCAGTACATACAGGGTTGTTTTAACATATTTTTAAAATTTTTATTGATTTCAGAGAGCAAGGGGCAGAGAGAGAGAGATAGAACATGCAGGATTGTTTTAGACCTTCATCACCTGAACCAGTGACCTTGGCGAAGAGAATTAAATTATTCTGATTGGTTTAAACCCTGGAGTTGGGCTGGATTCAATCCCATAAAAACCACATATGGCAACTATATAATGGGGTGAAGGGGATGTTGGGGTGAAAAATCAGATTTCATTATAGAGTGTTTCTCCTATAATTTATAAAAGTTCTTTATGAATATGAATATTAACCCTTTGTGTGTTTTACATATTACAAATACTTTCTCTGAATCTGTTGTTCTACTTTTACCTTTTAGTGTCTTTTGCTGTGTAGATATTGTAAATGTGTATCTAATCAGATCTATTAGTTAGTCTTCTC